TGGCAAATACATAGAAACACAGTTTTTACAAATTGACTTTTGTGTGTTGATGTTGTATCCTGCAGCCTAGCCTTTTTTATTTTTTGTAGAGACTGGGTCTCACTCATGCTCAGGCTGGTCTCAAACTCCTGGCCTCAAGTGAGCCTCCTGTCTCAGCCTCCCTGAATGCTAGGATTACATGCGTGAACCACCATGCCTGGCCACATCCCCAAAATTATAAGTTGTGTTTTTATTTTCATTCAATTCAAAATACTTTCTAATTTCCCTTTAGATGTCTTCCTTACATAGATTTTAGAAGTGGTATTTAGTTTTCAAATATTTGGGGATTTCTCGGAGATCTTTCTATTGGTTTATAATTGAATTCCATTGTGGTCAGAGAATATATAACACTTTGCATGACTTAAATCCATTTCAATGTATTGAGATTTGTTTTATGGCCCAGGCTACGATCTATCTTGGTAAATGCTCCAGGTGTACTTGGAAAGAATATATGTAAGGGTGTTGTTGGGTGGAGTGTTCTATGTTCTATAAATGTCCATCTGTTCTAGATAGACGATAGTGTTGTTGAAATTGTCTGTAAACTTACTGTTTTCTGCCTACTTGTTCTATCAACCATTGAGAGAGGAGTTGAAATCTCTGGCTATGTCTTAGTTTGCTAGGGCTACCATACGAAATACATAAACTGGGTGGCTTAAACAAGAGAAGTTTATTAATCTCACAGTTCTGGAGCCTGTAAGTTCCAGATCAAGGTGCTGGCCCATTTGATTTCTGGTGGGGGCACGTCCTGTCTCGCAGGATGGTCGGCCACCTTGGTGCTGTGTCCTTGACAGGTCTTTCTTTGTGTGTGTGTGGAGAGAGAAATAAACCCTTCTCGATTCTTCTTCTAAGGTCACTAATCCTATCGGATTAAGAATTCACCCTTATGACTTTATTTAACCCTAATTACCTTCTAAAAGCCCTCTCTGCAAATACAGTCATGTTGGGGGTTAGGGCCTCAACATATGAATTGTGGGGAGCGGGGAGGTGGCACATTTTAGTCCATAGCAGACTTTGGAAGCACCCATCTCTCCTGCAGTTCAGTTAGTTTGTTTTCATGTATTTTGATGGTCTGTTATGAGAGGCGTACATATTTTAGGGTTATAATGTTCTCTTCATCAAGTGACCCTTTGTTGTGAAATGACTTACTTTACACTTGGTGATACTCTTTGCTCTGAAATCTGCTTTGTCTAACGTTAATGTAGCCACTCTGGCTGTCTGTTGACTGGTATCAGCCTGGTGTACCTTTTCTATCCTTTTAACCCAATTCTTTTTTATATATGAAGTACTTTTTTGCACGTGACTTACAGCTGGTCTTGCTTTGTTTTTCCAGCCTGTCAACCTCTGTCCTTTAACTAGACGATTTATTTTTGACCGTTTGCCTGTAGTGTGCTTATTGATATAGTTAGGTTTGAGTCTGTCATCTAGGATTTGTTTTCTATTTGTTCCACCTGCTCTTTGTTCTCTTTTTCCTCTTTACCTGCCTTCTTTTGGATTTACTGTTTTGTGATTCTGTCTTATCTCCTTTGTTGGCTCACTAGCTATAATACTTGCTATGTTCTTTCAGCGGTTGCTCTAGCGGGGATGGGGAACCTGCGGCCTCAAGGCCATGTGTGGCCCCTCGACCGAATCCAAACGTCACAGGATTTGTTCTGTAACATTGGGATTGGGTCAAAAGGCTGCACTCAAGGATCCAGAAGGCCACGTGGTCCCGAGGCTGCAGGCTCCCACCCCTGTAGGGCTTAGGCAGATTCTGTGTATAACCGTCTTTGGCCCCTTGTTGCCCAGGTGAATGAGTGGCAGGAAGACTGGCCGACCTTTTTCACCCGGCACCGGCTCCAAGCACAGCTGGACCTCATTGAGCAGGACTATGCTGACCGGGAGGCGCGAGAGCTGTGGTCCAGGCTGCAGGTGGGCACAGCGGCAGCTTCTCTGGGAAAGAGGCTGTCATCTCAGGATCCCACAACACTCGCGTGGGGTCCTCTGGTAGAAGCGGGCCCTGGAGCAGAGCTGGCCAGGTGGTGGACGCCGTAGTGCCCGAGACTGGCCCTACAGGGAAGCTGAAGACACCCTGGCTCCTGAGCGTGGCTCTTGCCCGCTGGGTCACCAGGTGTTTAACCTGAAACTTTCCTCATGGGAGACCAAGGAGCCTAAGGCTTGTACATGGTGGCATTTAGTATTACTCTTCTCATTATTGGTAATATTGTCCACTCTTACCCCTGTTCCTCCTTTTCTGCCAAAGCACAGATGTCTCACCCCTTAGTGAAGATGTGGGTACCAGATGCCCCAGAGTGACTGGTTTCAAAACATAACTTTCCAAATGTTAAAAACAGAATTCACGTATTAATCCAGACTGAGCATGCATCAAAACGATTTTATTTCACTAATCAAGTCACCAGCACATAGGAGAGAGGTGGTGATATTTACTTGCAGTGACATAGAAGACTGGTGGAGAGTTTCCTAATAGGTGTAGGATTTCAGATTCTGCAGAACACCGACACTACGACCGCTAAGGGTGTCTTCTGTATGGAAAGCATTAGCATTGTGAAGCTCTGGCCCTAAATCAGCAGTAAGCAGCGAGTTAGGCACAGGGTGGCCCTCCTCGCGGGCTGGGCGGAGAGCGGCCGGGCCCGCTCCCGGGCGTGGGGTCGCGGCCTGCAGCTCCCTGAGCGATGGCCCCTGTGCGCCGCCACTGCTTTCCCAGGGGAAGATCCCGGATCTGTTCCGCGGCCTGGAGATCGTGCCCGCGCTGCTCCACGGCGACCTGTGGTCGGGAAACGTGGCCGAGGACGACGCGGGGCCCATCGTGTACGACCCAGCGTCCTTCTACGGCCACTCCGAGTTCGAACTGGCGATCGCCTCCATGTTTGGGGGCTTCCCCGGATCCTTCTTCGCTGCCTACCACCGGAAGATCCCCAAGGCCCCGGGCTTCGACGGGCGGCTGCTGCTCTACCAGCTGTTCAACTACCTGAACCACTGGAACCACTTCGGCCGCGGCTACCGCAGCCCGGCCCTGGGCACCATGAGGCGGCTCCTCAAGTAGCGGCCGGCGCCCCGCCCCGGCCAGACCCCGCCCCTCCGATCATGGCCCCGCCCCTTCCAGTCCTGGCCCCGCCC